TGAACTCAATGTACAATATATTTGACTTTACAAACTTTAAGCATTGTTCACATGTAAAGGTTGTAGTTGTTGTGTTAAATTGCTGAATCACAAAGATTAAAGATTGCACTTAGCAGAGGGGATGGAAGACCAGAGTTTGTGTCCCGCTGGCAGGTTTAGCATCCAAGCTCATTTAACTTCTTGCCTACTTATATGCTTCAAAGAAAATAAAGCCCAGTCACCTGCACTGCTGGTGTCCTGCTGATCCACCACACCAGCTTTGGAAATTGCAGTTGGTTATTGCTGAATCACAAAGATTAAAGATTGCACTTAGCAGAGGGGATGGAAGACCAGAGTTTGTGTCCCGCTGGCAGGTTTAGCATCCAAGCTCATTTAACTTCTTGCCTACTTATATGCTTCAAAGAAAATAAAGCCCAGTCACCTGCACTGCTGGTGTCCTGCTGATCCACCACACCAGCTTTGGAAATTGCAGTTGGTTCAGGCTCCCTGCAGGTTGCACTGGTTGTAATGAAGCTCTTCCTCATAACTGTGAACACTTCAATGGAAAATAGTCATGGTGATACCCAAGACTTAATTTTCTTGAAGCTCATAGCTGTTTTAAGACTGTTCGTTCTGTAGGCTCTTACATGTTTTGCATGAGATGGTTTAACTCAGCCCAAAGTGATTCTTCACAACTATATGGTTATAAATCTCTAAGCTGGTGATGAATGGGTTCCTTATAACTTTATCTGCTGCATGTGAATAAATTGCATGAGTAAGAAAAATAGCAGGAGAAGGATTATCGAACCTTGTAAATCTGGAATTTAATAGATGGAGGGTTTTTTCCTTAAAGATTGGAACTTTCTGCTATCCAATTGTAAAAGAGTTTTTTACTTTCAGTGACCTGAAGGTATTGAAGTAAGGCAGTGAGCTGCATTTCTCTGTCTTGTAAATGACCTTATGAATGATACACAAGACTTTATACAAACTTAGACTGAAAGCTCATGAAATAATGTAAATTTAAGGGCAAAATAATAGATTTTTTTTTTTAAAGTACAAAATCTATGACATTTTTTAAATTAAGGGAAACAAAGTAAGTTAGGTGGAATATATTTTGTTTGTCTCTTTTGTTTTCAAGGTTTGGCTTGAGCAACAAGTTTGATACAGAATTTCCTTCTGTTCTGACAGGGAAGGTAAGTGTGAGATTAAACTGTTCTTTTCAATGGGAAGATCCAGTGCATCCAGTGGTTTGTGTGTTGTAGATACATGCTCCTGACTGTGCAGTGCAGCACAGGCCAGCCCAGCTCTGAAGCCTGAATGAACTGCCCTGTGTGAACCCGCTGGCTGATGCCCAGTGCCTACACTGTGCTTTGAAAGAAGGAAAATGACTTGCAGGGATTGCCGTCATTGTTACTCTAAACACAGCAGAGCTCCACACGACAGCGTGCTGGTGTTTCATGCAGGCAGTCAACATGCAAGCAAGGCTCATCTCACCTTGCTCGATGGATATCTGGAGTTTGTGCTGCTTCCTCTGTGAATTAAATTATTCCAAATGCCAGACATAATTAAATTATTCCAAATACCAGACATATCTTTTTAATACGGCTGTCAAGCCTTGAGTTTGTATTTAGACAGATCTCTGGGAGAGAGTCCTTACCTGAAGCTTTAGGGAACAAAACATAGTGTTAAATCTACAAACAACGTAGGTTTTTTAGTACCTTTTCAGAAACACAGTAACTTAGTTCTGAAAAGGAGTGACAAGTCTCTTGCTTTCCCTGGAGTCCTGTCATCCTACTAAATTCAAGTTTAATAAAGTGTTAATTTGTAGCTATTAATGAAACCTTTTAACAAAGTTCTCGATTATGGTATTTACATTATTTTCATCATTGTGTTTGGGGTTTTTTAGACTTAAATTTTGAATTATTTTTCTCTTTTGCTGTGTTTTCTATCTTGTGTATCTTTTCCAGAATTTGTGAGGGACAAGTTTATTTGGCTCTTTGATTTCTCTGTGTCACACGACAGAGCTGCTGCCTCTGCTGCCTCTTGCAGGAGCTGTTGAGTCATGGTGACAATAGACAAAAATGGTGTCTCCTGGTTTTGCCAAATCCATCTGGGGTTCTTTGCCTTCCTTTCACCCCAGAGTATCCTGAGTAAAATCCTTGTGTTTGATTTATCCAGCTTTTTTGACATCAGGACAGTTGAAAAGCAGGTTTGGTAAAAGAACTTCTGGCCTTGCTTTAGAATCTCACTGAGCTCAAAGGGAAAAGTCTTACTGATTCCATAACATGAAGGCTGGTGATAACACCGTTTGCATTTCCCTACCTCGCGAGTCTAAGGTTCATTCTTTCCTGCAGATGTCTTTCTGATTATTGAAAAGCCAGAGAAAACATCTTGGAAATAGCAATTTTTATATTCTTTTAGTCAAGTTGTAGTTTATTATGAATTAGCCTGGCAGGAAACATTAAAACTTAATCTGATTATATCATTTCATCTCTTTCCATCTCTGTAAAATATGTTCATGTGCATTTAAAACCCAAAAAAACCCAGCCCTCACTTTTTCATGGGTGCCTGTCACATTTTCCACTTGATTGTCCTCCTCCTGTTAAATAGACAGTGAACAAAAGTTTAATTTATAGCTCAGTTGACTGCTTGGACTTCATTTGGCAGAGAGAGGAAAGAGGAAGTTCTCCTTGGCATTTACCCTTCTTGTTCTATAGATGTAATCAGTGGCAACATAAATCACATGAGCAGGGATTTTCTGTATATAGGTATGCTGCTTCTGTTGAGACTCTTGATATCCCCTTCTCTTTTTCCCATATTGGATTTGAGAAGCTTTCTAAGGAGACCTTGGAAATAAATTAGTTGCCTTTTGCCAGGGGAAAACTCTGCTCAAATGAGGCAGTAAACACATTTTTCCTGCGCCTGCCACATGCTGCCATGAATGACATTAAAAACCACAGTTGTGGGTTTTCTGAGTTTTAATGCTTTCCTGAATTGCAAGAAATAATCTGCTGCTTCCTCTGGTTGTGGCAGTCAATCACCTCCACACTGCTGGAAATGAAAACTCAGTTTTCCAGTTAGGCTTACTTCAAACACCCTCAATACCAGGCGCTGTAGTCAGTTGAAACACCACTTTAAGATCTTCTACTGTTCTTAAAACACAAATTTTAGCTTTTGAATAGCATAGTGGCTGTTTCTATTAACAAGTTGTGATGAAAACGTTTACTATGAGCTTGCGTAAGTGCCCAGCTCTAGTATAAAGCAATGCCATACTTTATTCAGTGGCTGGGTAACAGTAAGTTGAATGGCTTTGTTGTCTGCTGTGAATGGATATTAATAATATAACCCACCTGCTAATGGAGTGTTAAAGATGAAGCCGTTAGGTGGGGTTGATGGAGTTCTCTATGCTGTCCTTTTTAGTAAATACAGAGAAAGATTTGAGTTTTTAAACACTGGATGGAAATTTATCCAATGCACAATAAAAATCCTAAATAGATAAAACTAACTGGCTACACTTTTATCCCAAAAGCACCAATGTTCTGGATTTATGCCTTAGGAATTTAGTGAAGCTTCCTGACCCTCGGTTTGCTCATCTACAGAATGGTGACAGTAAACCTGCTGATTTTCCTCTTTGAAATCTGAAATCTTTCCATCTTCACCCGTCTCCCCTTCCTCTTCTCCCAGTGTTTACAGAGCCTGGATAGTTACTGTAAATCAGCCTCAAGCCAAGGTGCACATAATTACATATTTGAGACATGTTTGCTGCTTTCTGGGGGAGTGGTGGATGTATATATTTGAGGATAAAACATAGACAATAAACCAATAAAGGACAATATCAGTAGGTCCGCTGGATTGACTTCATATTTATCTTGCAGGATGAGCACAAGCTTCAGCTGGTTGATAAATGCTGAGCTTGGCTTTCAAATAGAGCATTCTTTCCAACTGAATAATGAAAGAAAAGATGTGCCTACACTTAATGCAGAGGCAATATTGAACTTTTAATAATGTGATTGGACTTAGGCCTAAATTTAAATTCTGTGTGCTACAGTTTTATAGGATCATTAACACTTTCAAAGCAAGCATTTAAATGCTTTCAATGAACACTCTTCATGGTACATGACACAATAGCACACACTGTCCCAGGTGACAAGAAAATGCTGGAGGTGGTGAACCTTAAGGAAGAAAGTGGAGTTTCCTGCCCTGCTCTTCAAACACTGAGGGTCGCACACAACAATTACTGTGCGGTGCAGGGAAACGTTGGCCATAAAATGTGCTCTTGGTATTGTGATCCCATTGCAGCGTGTGATTGATAGGGTTTGTGATCACCATGATTGCAGGAGAGGGCTCAGGCCTGCTGGGCTTTGCTTGCTCTCTTCCTGTGTTTGTAGAGTCTCTTGCATCCTGTTGTAAAATATTATGACACCCCCTCCTTTCCTTTTATGTTTTTGGGTTGGCTTTTTTCCCCTCTCTTCCTTAAAGACCTGAAAGGAGCTAATGTCTCTTTACAAGGTGTACTGCACAGCCAGGAGCTATGCACTTAATCTCATTCTTTTCAAGACCCAGACAGGAACTCTCCAAAAGACTTTCCAAAATGACTGAAAACTAGACTTTGAGGGAGCTTTCTTTGTGCACGAGATGCTGGTTAATTCTCTGTTTGAAATACATTAGTCACTTCATTATCCTCTCAGTATCTGTAGCCACAAGAAAGGCGAGGTTTAGAATTATGCCAGAAACCCACCAGAATTCTTTGGTGACTCTTTCAATTGGATCCCATTTTATTATTAAATTTAAAAGTTATTTTATTTACAGATATTTTTTGTCATTTGTAACAAAACTGTTAATGAGCTATAAACTGAGAGCAACAAAACTGTGTTTTGCTTCTATTCATCACAGAATGAGCTTATCTTGGTCACTAGTTCCTTTAGTTTCAAATGAAGAGGTGTTATTGAAGTCTTTGTTGTGATTATGTTTCCTAAAGGGAGAAATACATCCAATAGTTTGAGTTAGCCAAAACCATCTTGAGCGATTTCATCCTATGTTGCAGCTAAGAGATTCATCTTTACATGATATATCTGGTGCGTTAGAATCATAGAATGGTTTGGGTTGGAAAGGACCTTAAGATCATCCAGTTCTAACCCCCTGCCATGCACAGGGACACCTCACATTAAACCACATCACCCAAGATTCCATCTAACCTGGCCTTGGACACTGCCAGGGATGGAGCATTCGCAACTTCCTTGGGCAACCCATTCCAGTGCCTCACCACCCTCACAGGAAGAACTTCTTCCTTAGATCTAACCTGAACTTCTCCTGTGTAAGTTTGAATTTTGCATTAGCAGGTAGCAGCAGTGCTTTCATATTACTGAATTAAGGCAAGCATCATCCCAAAGGTTCTGAAATAGAGTTTTTCTGTTTCTTGGTGGCATCCAAAGTTGGTTTCTAGTTGTAGCCATTTGCAGTGCTGTGCCCTACAAGGAGGGGAGTACTTCAACGTTGTTCTTGTAAAGCAGCATCAAACTTAACCTGATGTTACCAGTGACTCCCTTAAAAGTAGCACAGAAACAGGGAATCTCACCATCCATGGGCTTTATTAGGTCCTAAGTTTTTTTTCTGCCTGCTGTGATCTAAGATTCTGACTTCTTTTTAAGTTGGATGTTATCACTGATAAGATTTCTTCATGTTAAACTCTAGATTCTGCAATCCCATTGCTTTGGTAGGTTTGCTCAGCTGTATTTTGGGGTTGGGGTGTGTTGTTGTCAATGTCCAGTATACTTTGTGTCTAACAGGAAAGAAAACATTCCCTTTTCTTAGTGGGATTTGTTGCAAAAATCCTAATGAAGTCAAGAAGAAACCCTACTTATTTTATCTTTGAAATAAGCAGTTAGAATGATTCATGTACAGATTCCAAAAGGCTCGTTAAAGTGCCATTTGTACATTTGTAGATGTCAGGAACATGTAAACTGCCTGAAGAGCTGAGAATGCCACTTTGTCCATGTATGTAATCTCAATGTGTGCTTGTACTGTGCACAACCAACCCACTTGTATGTTACTACGAACTATTCTCCCACACTGAAATGGTTCTTGCTCACATGCATCTGGTATTTGTTATACCCTAAATACAGGAGCTGGCATTGGCAAAGAGATCTATCTGTAAAACCTCTTTCAGATACCTGAAGTACATGCTAGTTTTCCACATTACAACGTGATTTTGGTTTTACTTGGTTCACTGTACATGGGATCTATGTTTCTTTTTGCCATTTTCTTTCTTGCTTGCTTTTTTAAACTGTCAATTGTCACCCACATTTAAATGTTGATGTTCCAGTCAGTCTAAAGAAAATCTTTTCACTTGCTCAATTTGTATATGATAAAAAGATTTACAAGACATTTTCATTAATACTGAGGGGGGAGCCTGGATAGTTGCAAAAGAAATTCTTTCTGTGTACTTATTCCTGCTATAAAATAGTCACAGTGTTAAATTCTGATGTTACATTGCTTACTGTAGGCCTGGCTTGTGTACAGACACAGGTGACCTCTGACTCTATGTGCATGGTGAGCTGAATGGCCAGCAAACATGTATTTATTTACTCCCTTTCCTGCAGTGTTTTAATGAATTTAGGTTGTGAATAGGTGGCAGTAGCAGGATCAGGTCCTCTCCATTTCCTGTCGCATAGTTTTGCTCCTTTGGTGAAAGGAGTCTTTGTCATTGAATTAATGCTTTTGTGGTTGTTGTTGCCCTTGTTTGCAGAATTAAATGCACAGAGTTGGGCCTGCTTGGTTGAAGGGATTATGTAGTAGTTGCACAGCTTTGTACACAGGCTAATTCCAGGGGTCTGTTCTTCAATGTGGCAAGTAGTTAGGGAAGAATCTTTATTTCTTGGTGTCGTGTCTGCCTGGTGAAGTCTGTTGAAGTTGGATCTGATTATTCTGCTTTTGTGCATTCAGACACTGGATTGTATTACAGCTAAGAGTGCCATAGAGCCAATACCACAAATCCATATTGGACTTGTCAGATAGAAGTTATTTAGATTCTGTAGAGAGATGGGGGATTTGGGGTGGGTAAATAGGTGAGTGCTCTCACTCTTTTGTAAGAGACATGCTGCTGTGAGAAAGGAGCTTATTTTTGATCAAAAATGTGAGTTTCTGCTGTGACTCTGCAGTGGTAATAGATAGAAAATATTTTGAGTAAGCTCTGCTGAATATTCCTTAATTTAAATAAGCTGGTTTTAACAGCCAGGCTTCACTCACAGCCCTGTACAAGACGCATTTCTTTGCCTTGACTATAACCCAGTTTATGTCTTTCTAGGCTTCCCTATTTTAGGAAGCAGCCACAAGTGAAGTTCTGGCCTTGTGTCAGTATAGAGCATGTTAGGAATTCATTTATGGACAACAGAGGTCCACCCTCAGTCAGGCACAGTGTAGCTTCTATTGGTGTGAAATTGATTTGGACAACATTAGCCTTTTTTCTATGTGATGTGTTCTTACTACAAAGCTGTGTCCCACTTCTGGTTTAGTTTGGGGCCGCTGTTATCAGGCCAACTGAGTGGTGCAGTAAGTCAGGATGAGGCTGTTCATCATCTAAGCAATGTTCTAATTCAAGTTTTTGCAAAGCATGCACCAAAAATGAAGTTGTTACAGAAAAGTGACTTTTCCTGCTCACTGGTGACCAGTGTTTTAGAGGATGAGGTCATATTGATAATGGCATTATGTTGTATTTATCCTGTAGAGGCAATTATTGAGCAAATATACCTGTAATGGTTTCCCACTGAGGTTCAGCATTTCTGTTGCAGGTTGCCCCAGAAGAATTCAAGACCAGCATCAGTCGTGTGAACGCCTGTTTAAGAAAGAATCTCCCCATCAATGTAAAATGGCTGCTTTGTGGCTGTCTGTGCTGCTGCTGCACGCTGGGCTGTAGCCTGTGGCCTGTCGTCTGTCTTAACAAAAGGGTAAGTGTTTATTGTTCTTATTCATTAGATAACATTAAAGAACACTTAATACTATCATCCCTATTTAAAACCCTTTTTGTCTTGCTTGCATTCAAAAGGCTATTCTGTTTTCCATTCCTTAGAAAATAGAAAAACTATGTTTGTTAATGAAGTAAATGATGCCAAATTACCCACTAATCGTTTTAGGAATAGCTAATCCCATCTCACTGTGAAGAACAGGATAGAGTATATGATAACCTCATTTCCCAGGATTTCTGAAGGTGTAAGAATTGCATTAAATGAGTGCAGAACTGGGCACAGACCCTCACCGGCTGCCTGAGCTGGAGTGCAAGTTACTTTTCCTCTTCCCACACACGGAGCCACAGGCCAGAATAGTTTTAAATCAAAAATCACCTTTTTCATACGCAGTAGATACGAGAACATTTCAGAGCTGTGCTTTCTTTGACATATTTTACTCTGTTCTTTCTATTAAGAACAAAAACAATTTTATTTTCTATTTGGGAAGTTTAAATCCTTCCTTTTTCATTTCCTTATGTATCTTTTCTTTTTTTTCCCCAACAGAAAGTTGGAAACTCTTGTGATCAGGTCCAAAGGAATAATTCTGAAAGTGTTTAAGCACTATGAAGTAAATGTGATCTTATTTACCTCTATGGTTTACATTTAGAATTGATTTGTCACAGCAGTAAAGGTTTAGGAAATACATTAACAGGTACAGTGTAATGCTGTTCTTTGCAGCTACACAGTTTGTAAGTCTTGTAGCCATAAGATCTTACTATCTGCAAATGTAAGTAGTATGTAGGTGCACTGGGGAAATAAAGTCTCACACTTGTCATTTAATTTATAGGAAAAGATCTTAAGTAAAAAGTCATACTTCTGGCTCTATCCTTAATAAAACAAAGCTAAACTGAGGACTAGGCACTGCTTTTCAGTGAAAACAGAGTATTTTGACAAACTTCCCAGCATGCTCAAGAAATTAACAGTTGCATTGACTGGCATTGAGATTTGGTGAAGGAGAACAGTAGAGATTTAATGCACAAAGGGCAGAATATGATAACTTGTGGAACTGCTACTTGGCTGAAGCCTGTAGCACTAAAAGGTTACAGGGCTTTTTAGGTCATTTTAACTGCCTTTATAAACATTCTTACTGGAGAGGAAGATGCTTGATACAGATGGAATATTTTGCAGGTTTAAAGCCATATTTAATATTCTTGTGCTACTGAAAATCTAAATAAATGCCCATGTGATGTTGTAGTGTTAATTCTAAAGGCTACGAATAATATGTACCAAGTAGGAGTAGGGAAGATCATGTTACTTCTGTGGGTATGTTGTGTGTGTGTATATAGAGTGGTTTGATCACTGTCACAAGAATAAGATGGTTCTTAATTTTCTGTTGTGGTGGGTTGGACCCAGCCAGCAACTAAACACCCACCAGCCCCTCGATTACTCACCCTTGTTACCCCCCCCAGGCAGGACTGGGGAGAGAACCAGAACAGCAAAAGTAAGAAAACCTCATGTGTGCAGATGAAGACAGTTTAGTAAGTGAAGGAGAAAACCCAAATGATGAAGAGGCAAAATCACTTGCCACCTATCTCTGGGCAGTGGACTACTCTGGAAAGAATAGCCCATGGTTTTATTGTTACATGGCATAGAATATCTCTTTGGTCAGTGCCATTCAGCAATAGCTAAAACACTGATGTGGTGTCAATGCTGGTTTAGTCCTAAATCTAAACCACAGCACCATAAAGCTGCTGTGAAGAAAATGAGCTCCAGCCCAGCCAGCCTTTGTGCACTTAGCTGGCAACAAACAGCGTTACCGAGATCCCGAGGCTGCAACAGGAAACTAAAACAGTTGTCACAGGAAACAACAGGTACTTTTTAATTCCAAGGATAGCTTTGGCAGTGGAAAAACATACAAAGTGGTGAGTTCTCCACTGCTAAGTCTTTGTTAAGCCTTCTTTAGCAAAGAGGTTGGTGGATGGAATTCTGTGGCATAGCATGCAGGAAGTAGAGTACATCATCACAGTGGTCTTTTTTGACCTTAAAAATGACTGAAACTCCAAAAATCATCTCCTCTCCCACAATTGTGGGAAAGAGCAGAATAGGCACTTTAGTATCCAGGAATTGAAGATACAGACAGTGCTTGTTGTGAGCTGGAGTTCTGTGGTGGTGAGATTTGTTCAGGATTCAGATAACAATTACATGAGCAAAATCTGGGAATCACCTGTATGTAAACTGTGTTGTCAGTAGTCTGTAGCAGGTGGAGAATTTGGCCAAGAGGATGAGGGAGATTCTGTTCTACTAGCTTGGCTGTGGTAGGCAGGAATACCAGTTCAAAAGGATCTCTTACTAAGTAAATGAATTCAGGGGAAGTCAAGTCCTAAGTTAACACAAAACCTGTGTGTTTTTCTGAAGATGGTGGAGTTCAGGAGTGGGGAGCTGAAGCAGCTGGACGTCCATTTATCGTTTCTCTTTTGCTTGGCTCTACTTTTATAAAACTAACTTGCTTTAATCTTAAACCAGCAATGCAATAGGAGGATTCTTCTGGATGAAGCTGGTTTCTGAACTATTTATAATACAGTTTTTACGTACTTTTTTTAGACTAGAAGATCAATTCAGAAGTTATTAGAATGGGAAAATAACAGACTATATCATAAGGTAAGAAAAGTCAGAGTGCTTGGGGTTTCAGCTTTAAGAACAGTAAATTTCATAGTTGGCATGTAGGAATTATACAGTCTTGTTATAATTCCATACTTTCTACTGATCTTAAACCTGTGTCTGAAGTGTTCCAGATCCTCACACTTTGATAGTGGTAATGCATGTTACATTACTTATCAAACCAGAGCTGTGCTAATGCATTAATCCTTTGGTATTTATTTTCTTAGCTGGGTTTGCACTGGAAGCTGAGTAAAAGGAAATGTGAAACCAGCAATATGATGGAATATGTAAGTGTTACTTCTGCTGCTTGTTTGGTGTTCTACATAACTGATTTGATAAAGAAAATCCTTAACTTACTAGTGGTTCACCGTATCTGAAATAGTGTCTCAGAAAAACATGCAGTTGTGTTTGATGTCCACCCGTGATGGCCTCTTTTAGCAGGAGTAGCCATGGCAGATCTGGAGACTTCGAAATTGTCACCACTAAACATGTTTTCCCTTCATAACAACTGTATGTTTGCACTGCAGTACACTTGGGTTTGGGCTGTAATTTGTGATGAGGGAGACCCACTGGGACTGTGTGCACTGGTTTGACTCCCACACTAGTCCATGGTTCTTTAATGCTTACCCACGTTTTCCTCTGGTATTCAAACTGATTTAGAATCAAACTATTTGTGCAGAGATGCTGCATTTTTATAGTATCTTTTTGGTCTGGATTTTTTCCTTTTTTTTGCCAGCTCTGAATCCCATAAAGCTTTAACAAAGACAGTCCATTTAGGAAAGCAGCATTGGAAGTATTGTGGTGGTCCTACTTCTCCCCCATCCAATTTCGTGTATAGCCATGAAGACTGTAGGCTTGAAGAATAGAGATAGTCACCCCAAACAAGTCAGGTGTCCAGAAGCCTTGGATGTCAAACAGACTGAAATCTCTGCTTTGTTCCTCTGGGCAATATCTGCTCCTTAGAGAGCATCTCAGATATGTTTAGTCTCACATGCTCACTAATGTTGCATGGAAATCGTGTTGAAGGTTTGAACTTTTTGGTTACTGTGTTCTGTTCTTGTCTCTTTCAAGGTAATATTAATAGAGTTCTTACCAAAATACCCCATATTTCGACCTGACTGAGGAACATCATTTGGTCTTTCATGTTACCTGTCATTTTCTACCCTTAGTGCCTTGTAGATGATTTTGGAAAGAAGATGGTCTACTTTGCTGTGACTTAATGTTCTTCAGTAGAGTATCTTCCTTGCTATGTTACTTTCTTTTGTTAAGAAGAGAACAATTTGCACATTTTTTTATGTTAAATGAGGCTTCTATGTTGCACTCTGAATTTTTAACATTACCAATAACTGATAGAGTTGCCACTAGGGATCTAACATCAGTGCTGCTTAAACTTGTTCTGAGCATGCTGCCTTATTAATTTCTGTATTTGCTGTCCTCAAACATGCATCCTAATGCTGTGTCATACTCTTATTTCATTCTGAATGTTGCAACCCTAGAAACCCTCAGTAGAAATGTCCAGGTAAGCATCTAGTAGTAATGATTTTAGTATAACCTGCTTGCATAGGACTTGCAATCAACAGCACTGGTTTTGTCCTGCACTTTGCAAAATCATCATCTACATTAGGGGGTTAATTATTTTACCCACTATGGATTTGTAAATAGTTACTCTTTGCATAACGTAAAGTGTGGTATGCCAAGGTTTACAGAATGTAATATAGCTCCTGTTCTATTGCCAACAGTCCAACATGGTTTTACTCATTACCCTTGCTCGTATCCCTCTGATTGTATAGACCCACTCACATGCTGTTTTTATGGTAAAGCCATAAGGAGTTTGTACATAACTATCAGATGTGTAGGGCTCAGTTGCACTTTGTTTAGTAAATGGATGAAAAATGCATAGCATTTCTGTCTTTTATTTCATGTTTTAAAGGATTTCAGGTGGTGGTTGTAGCACCTGAAATAGGAAACTGAAATATTGTTCACCTTTGGAAGAGCTGCATTTGTGGGGTAGATGGTGGCTGCTAAATATCCTAAAGCCCCTTTAAGTTAGGAATATATGGATGTCAAGTTTTGTTTTGTTGATAAGTGAGGAGAAAAAATGTTTCATAATTGGAGACCTTCATTACTAAGGAGAAACATTTGGAGCAGCCAAATCAAAGCTGAGGTAACACTTTTGATGTTTTTGTAGCCCTGATAGTACTTCAGCATTTGAGTGACATGGCTTCCTTTCCAGTGGAAATAGATGTTATCTAAATCATAGTAGTTGCCCATCAAATATGCTGATGGGAGGAAGTGGATCAGTTGGAAGGGTTCATGCATATGTTTTGGTATTCAGGCACAGTTTGAAGAGCTGTAAATGCCTTGTGGAATTCACAAGTATTTTTGGATTCTTCCCTGTTTGCCTGATCTCAGGCAGGGAAGTAATTGTAGAAGAGCTTCCTGTGATGGTTGGCCTAAGCAAGACCACTTGGTAATAGTAAGGAAATGACAACTGATGCAAGTTCCCTCCCTTTCCTAACTAGAAATAAGAAATCAGACAAAACCCAGCAGATGACAGAGTATCTGCACATTGTGATGAGTATCTTCACAAATGTCCAGGCTTTTCTTTGCGGCAGCTTGACTCCTCACTACATTGTCCCAAGTTGCTTTATAGTTTCAGGGTTACTTGGGATTTCCTCTGAATGTATTTGCAACTTCCCAGTATGCAATACTGTATTAAAATTCAGTATTTGTAAGACCATTGCATTCTAATGACTGTCACAGGGCAGACTTTGTGTGCACAGTGTTTACAGGAGGCCAGTTTTATGCAATTGTTACTTCAAATCAAATCCTGTGCTGTTCTTACTGTGCAGCTGTCAGGCTCCAGTGCCTACAGTAGCTTCCAGTCACAGACTGATGCTTCAGATTCTGCAATCTGTACACTTGCTGCAGAGGTTTCATTTGACTGGCAGGTTGGTGACAACTGTGTAATTGCATTTGTAACAGAATGAATAAAAAGCTGTTGTTTGAATTTACCAGTAGCTACACCTCACAACTCAGATTTCTATCTCAGAACCAAGCAGCATTCTCTCCAGTTTTTTTCAGGATGAGTGTTAACTGGAAGCAGAGAAAATGCTTAATGGCAGGAAAATGCCATGTAAACCAAAACTGAAAGAGCACACCCAGGTCTCTGTATTTCCCTTAGAAAAAGCTTCTGGAGTAAGTGAAGGGAGGTTAGTTTCATTAGTGGAACAATGGGAGTTTCTTACTGTTATGCCAGAACTTTGTTATTTTCTTTTTGTGTGTGAGAAACTCAAGAATTCTCAGCAGGTTCTTTATGTGACTGTATTTCAAAATGTTCTTTTCCAACTGAGACACCAGGCAAGCAGAATGAGAGCTCTAGTGGTTGCCAGTGGTGAATGCTGAGTGGTCTTCAGTCTCGCTGCTAAGAGATCCCCTTCAGTTGGTGCTGACTTCACCATATTCAGTTCAGAATTCCTCAGCCTGACTTGTCTTGTTTCTGTGAAGCGCTGTGCCAAGCTGAGGGAATACCGTGAGCTACAGGAGCCCCTGGTCCCTCTGGGCTGTGCCCTGGCTGCCCAGTGCTGTGATATGACCAGAGACCCAAGGCAGGACAAGGTGGTGGCTCCGCTTTCCCACCCACATCCCTTCAACGCTGTCCCATGGGCCTGGCCATGTCCTGCTCTGCCCACAGCAGGTTGCTGTCCCTGGGTCTCTCCAGGGCACCACAAGGTGCTTAAGCACAGAATGTTAGTTTTTAAAGTTTACATTTCAAATATGTAAATTCTATACATTTTACTTTGTCCTTAATTGTTAACTGTATAGTCTTCAAACCATGAAAGGGTCTCTTCTTTGTGTTTTAACAGACATGTAAATATGTGGTCATAAAGCAACTGGTAAAGAATATGAGAGCTGAAACTGCCACTTACAGTAAGCTCCATGTTTTAGTAAGTATATAAATTTGCATTAAAATGCAAATCCAGCACACAGTATTATATCTGCATCTGAAAGACACAGGTTCCATAGCTCATTTAAAGAGGAAGGCAGCTGTAAGTACTGCTGTGAACTGTGCACTTCTGCTCTGCCTACAGGTTCCTTTTTGCCTGGGCTATCCTCTGCTTTGAACAATCAGCAGGTAATTCTATCTCACAAGACAGAAAAGCTCATTGTTGACCATAAGAAGTCAGCATGAATTGGTAAATGTCTTTACGAAGGATACTTTTTCATTGGAGAAAGAATTTGTGGCAACATAACAGAGATTAATGTTAGCAAAGTATAATGGAAGTGGTAAAGAAAGTGCCTTGACTGGTTCCAGCAAAAGAGAACACATTGTGCAGGGAGTAAGGAGGAAAAGGGAACTAGTAACTATCAGTAGTGTGAGTTTGCAGTGGATTTTTAAAAGCAGTCACTGTCTGCCAAATCGATGTTTCATTTTTCATATAAAAATGCTGACACTAACTTTCCTTTCTGGATTTAGGAAATATTTGGGTTTGTATCTAGTAAGTTTTGTATCTAACGAGTACTGAAGTATTAAAGAACACTGGCAGAGCATCAAAGCTCCTACCTGCTGATTGCCCACCTGCACCTGTGAACTTGTTTTACCATAGGAGGGAAAAAAAGCGTTCCAGGACATGCATAGACAAGTCTAGGAAGTGGGTTCAGCTATAGATGGGTGGCTTTAAAACAGAAAACTCTTTTACTGAATCCCATGTGGTCTTGATAAATTAAAGTTCTTACGGTTTCCTTGATAGGTACAAAACTCCACATGCAAACCCATAAATATGTTTATGATTGTCCCACTATGACAGTTCACTATGTTTACTTGTCAACACGCTGCCATTGGAGCAATAAAAATGTCAAACTATTACTATTCATTGTATATTATTTATCATTTTAGTAAGAAATGTTATGTGATTCTTCTGCCTTTTTTGTTCTCTGCTTTTGGTGTTCTTACGGTCTTAAAACATTACTTGTACTGCTTCAGAAAAGTGGTTTTGTTTAAGCTGTATGCAACTTTGTTCACTACATTTTAATCTTGTTTACAAGTAAACAGCCACTTTTGTAATAGGACCTCACCCTCGGACCACATCTTGAGAGTTTTCTCTTTTTCTTTTCTTCCCTTTTTTTAAATGAAAATAAAACTCTGAGCTCGCTTTCTACAACTCTCTTCACTGGCTTGTGCCATTACAAGAAGCTGGAAGTCAGATGTGCTTAATCACTTTGAGACATTTTTCTTTAATTAAATTTCAAGATGAAAACCTTTGAACAGTGCAGTGTGTTTATGGGAATAAATGGTCTTCTGCGTCTCTCCCTGTAGCTACACCTGGAATAGCAACAGGATTGGGTTCTCTTGCAGTGAGACACGTTCCGGACAGGACCAGGTCAGGTGCTTGTGTTGGGACTTTAAGGAATTGGCTGGTTTAAAGCTTAGGAAGGTTTTCCAAAAAAGGCAGCTGCCAAGTGATCATCATACCTAACCTTGCAGATCGGTCGGCTGAGTTACAGACCTGGTGTTGCAAGGCCTTCTCCTAGGAGTCTCCTCTCTGAAAACCAGAGGGTTTTCTCCTACCCTGTTGTACCTCGAGAGCAGCCTAACCTGAGTGTGGGTCATGTGTGAGTGGAATAAATCTTTGGCTTTTATAGGGGATTGTGAAGGTAGGACAATGTGGCCTTTTGTGTGTATTAACAGGCTGGCTTTGTGGCTGTGACAGCAGGTCTGAAAATGAAAGCCTGTGGCTCATCCCTGAGGGAAGCCTAACTGCATTCCCGAAATGGGCTCATGCAATGTTTTGTGTTGAGAGTTGGTGCGCTCAGTTGTTTTGGACAAACACAGGAGCATCTGGGTGGACTGTGCTGTTAAAGCACTTAACTGTTACTGAGCATTGTTTGAAACATTTAGAGAATGTTACTGTGGTGTTGAGCCAAATATAGGGAACATTGGGCCGAGTCATGAAGTTAATGCCCTGTCAGGGTTTATGAGCTGTAATTGTCTAGACTACTAGCAAAGGGCCATTTTAAGAATATTTGGGATTTGGCTCTGGCTTATACTATTGGAAGGCACTTTTAGAACTGTTTGGAAGTGAAGCTAACTATAACGTCTGTGCCAGTGTATTATAATGCTCTGTCTGTCATGTCAGTATTGTTCTACAGCTTAAAGAGTTGAAGTGTTCTAGCCGAGTTTAATTTTCTAGTTCATCTTTGAGAGACATAAAATCTTTAGACTTCATTTGTTAGATAAATGAAATGTTAGTCACCTCTCAAAAGCAAAGTTCTCTGTTTCTGATCATCCTACATACATTTGTTTGCACTTATTCCTGTTTGAATGAATTTTCTTTGAATAGGATTGACCAGAAACAATCGGCTATTCCAGATGATGGCTTAGGCAAAGGCACCAGGTATATCCATGTGGATAGTTCCCTCTTTTCTGTGAAAATAGTATGATCCATTAAATTTAAAGGATCACATCTGTCTCCTTAATGGCTGTACTGTAGTTCTGATTTACAACCTTTCTGTGATAAACTGGGGACTTTTCAGTCACTTCTAGTTTGTATGAGCTCCCAACACTCTCCGAACTGATCCCATCAGTCCAGACTCATCATTTGACTTTGTACTGTTGAATGTCTCAGTACTTACGTTACGGTGGCCCTCCCGATCCTCCAACTCCTTGTACATGTGCTCCCATTCCTCCTGTAAAATAAATCTTTGTCACTGACTGATTGAATCTGCAGAGCTTACAAAAATGCTTTTACTAAATGATTAGCTCCATTCTACTGATGAAACTGCTTCTACTTTTCTAAAAGCCCTTTTTCTTAGTTCCTTATCTGATATAATTGTTTCTATTATTTCTCCATCCAGCTGAACCAGTATTTTCCTTGTTGTAGTTTATCTGGACTCTTAATTTGGGTCTGGGCTAAATGACCGAACCTTCTATAATCACTGGGTCTGTTT